GACCAATCCCTGGTAATGCTCTACTTCGGTGGTCTCCAACCTTTTTAAGCACAAGATCACTTTTTGGATTAAAGTGCAAGCCAGGATCTACTGCTGCACGCAGCCGGGGCAGAGCTGTGATCCCCTGCCTATGCACCCCTGCCTGGAGTGTGCAGGCTACAGATTGTAGCTCTGCCCTGGCTCTGGAGCAAACTGCCCCCATCCCAAGTTCCCAGTGGCTCCAGAGCAGCCCCCTGCGCTGCTCTGCCACGTGCATTGCCAGTGTGGCTTAGGCTGGTCTCAATGACGACCCCAGCCTGAGCTTTCGTGTGCAGGTGTGGGTGGGGTCTCCATGGAGACCAACCCAAGCCATGAGAGCAGCTGGGAAAGAGGCCAGTTGCCGGTCAGATCGGCCATTTTGCCTATCCTTGTTTTATGCCTAACTTTAGCTTGAAAAACAACAAGATGGGGGACTGAGACTGAGATTGACTGTCAGAGGCTCCACGATCAACCAGTCGATCATGATCAACTGGTTGGTGATTATTGCTCTACTTTATCACCATTACCAGCACTGAGATTCTTGGCTCGCTCTCCTTTTCTGACCACTCCAAATACCCAAGCAAGCCTATGCCATATGCTCTCATGATCCCCATCATTCCCACTCTCACCTTAAAATTGTTCTCTTTTTCAGATCCTTCACAATAAGGTTTTGCCCTTCAACTCAACCTTTGCTTTAATGCTCATACTCTCTCTTTAGTCATTCATTTCCAAGTTCCCTAACATGCCATTTACAGCTATTGTCTGGAATTTCTCTCTTCCAGGTCCCCCCTAGACTCCTCTAGACACCTTCTGTCAAAGATGATACCAGCCTATGGAGGAAGTAGGAAGAAGGCATACTGTCCCCATTTATCTTGGCCTATGCACAGCATCATCTAGTCCATTGACTTTAGTTAAGCTACACTTCTCTATACCAGTTGGAGAGAGGGCCCATTGCCTTTATTTCTGTTACTTATTCTTGAGATTGAGAATACAGTTTTGTATTGGGTAAATGATGCATAATTCTAGTTTCCTGTGATTTTCTTGCTTCATAATCAAGGACTTTGAAAAGTCTCTCAAACTATAAGGGAATATATTTCTGTCATCATAGGTAAAAATATTAACAAAACCATATTCACTTTTCTCCTCTCATCTATTACCAACATCATGGAGGTGATTCCAGGTAGTTGTTCTTCCTGATAAAACCTTTAGGGGTTATCAGGGGAAATCTGCCACACAACCTACTCCCCCTATTCCAGTCATTTTTCAGATGGTGGTAAATGGTCTTTTTCCATCACAAATACACATGCACACATTAAGTATCATTGCATACATGCAACAGCAACTGAAAGTGGCACCGTTGCAGCCTATGCAATTGAGGGAACATAACAACTCCTTATGGATTTTTGTTTAAATCTCTAGCACCTGACTTCTGATGCCATTTGGTTTGGGTGCCATTAATTTGGGTTAAAACAATCCATATGTAGAGTCTAGCTTTCATAATATCTGAATATGGATTCACACACAATCACCTCAACCCACTTCTATTTAGAACAGGAACAGTGAGGACAATGGAACAGGTAGGTTGTTGAGTACCTACTAAGGTTGCTGTGCTTTCACACTACCATTTTATGGGTGCTTTAGAAGTGAAAGAAAATGTAAATTTTAATTCAAAGGGACATATGTTCCCCTTATCTGGGGAAGCTCTTTAGATTGGTTCCTAGATTTTGGCAATAAGCATGTGGGTTGGGTGGAGAATCAACTCTTCAACTCCTGCAGCTGATGTGAAACTGCTCTGTGGCTGCTACTTCGGCTCAATCTGCAACAGCACTTTTGGTTCTGATGTACCTTTTGGCAGTAAGAAGGAAGAACTGGAGAATAAGTTTAGCACTAATATCTTGTGCTTCTTTTATCCTTCCATTTTCCTGCCCACTGCATATGGCTACCCCAAAATCACTCCCTTGGCTTTGCAGACCAGAACACCATGGCTGTGGACAAGAGATAGGTTTGTTTCTCAGTGCATGCAGCTTTCATTAGCTCTGCCCTTAACTGAAGGAAGAATAGATTCCCTTTTATTTATTTAGCTACATCTGCTGCCTATCAAATGCTAGACACTCCCATTGTAAGATCTAAGAGCCTCTTACAAAACATAAAATTCACAATAATTGACTAATTACATTAAGCTCATGTACCTTCTACAGTCATTCACCGAACTTCACTGAGTTTAGTCATCTGGGATTAAATAAGAATTTTACCATTACACCCTCGTGTGGTATATGTCTGTACAACTTTTACAAATATTCTTTTTATTCATCTTACTATTTCTTTCTGGACTTGTACAAAAGTAGGAAGAAGAGACTTGAACCTTCATTTTCTGGGCATTCAACCCTCTTGCCAAGCTGAATGGGAAATTTGGATGCAAAAAATGCTATCTCATGCTCATAATTTGTATAAAAATAGATACCTAAATGAACCAGGAACACAGAGCCAATATTTTTTACTTTGTAGATGGGAAAAGAACTGTAAATGGATTTCCAGAGTAAGTCAGTCATAAATGTACTCAGAAAATGAATGTAAAATTTCTTGAACATTGCTATGAGTGTTTTTGTTAAAATTTAATTTCTAGTAAAGTTGCTGACCAATCATATTACTCAATCATTTCCTACTTCAGAATAAAAGCACTTTTTCGGGTTAGCAAGCTCCTGTTTTGTAGACCAGTATGAATTATTCCCATCTTGCAGAAGAGGAGAAATTGAGTTTCCAAGGGTCACAGTGAGTTACAGGTAGAATCTGGATTAGGGTTTAAGGCCTCTAGTTCACAACTCTGTCCCCATTCCTCCAAGCCATATGAAATGAATCTCTTTTCTTCAATCATGTTTGTAAAACTTTCAAATGGGATATGCAGATTTCATGATGTGATTATAATAGTCAAATGAACTTTAATTTACATATATATTTAAAAAGACACTCTAGAATTCCATTGGTCATTTCCCCAGGAGTGGATCTGAATCTCAGGACTTGCAGGAAATAATAATATAGGTGGCAGTAATCATTCTTCCAACCAGATCTATTTACCTTATTTGACATAAGTGTGCAACAATTTGTTGTTAGTTTCTCTTACTTTCAGACATATCTAGAATAATTATTAGCATCTGATTGATCTGGGAAAAATCCTATTCTAGTGGATACTAAAGCATGTAAGCTCTTTCCTGCAAAGCATAGTGCTCTGTCCAGTGCTAAAGTTATGCTTTCATCTGGTTATCTTTCAAGACAACCTGGGTGGTCACAAAAAGCACTTGACATCTTGATGCACTTCAGCAGTTTTACATATACACAAACTTTGTAGAAAAATAAATTTGTCATTCGTCACCACATATGTTGATCTGGGGAGTGAGGTTCCTGTGGCTATAGCTCCTGTGCTTCTCAGCTTATTCTCTCTCCCTCCTTCCCTCCTTCTGCTCTTTAGCTTTTTTTGTTTTTTGCACTCTACAGAATATTTTCCTTAGAATTTCATGGAAGGAGGACGATCTAAACATTTGTCAAAATATGCTCACCCTCTGCATTAGTTACAAACTCATGCTAAAAAGAAAGTCCTCATGGTGGCATCTAGCATGGGACAAACATTTAGAATATCTAATCTGTTATCACTGCTCAGCAAGCAGTCTTGGCAACTATGATCTATTCTGCTTTGCTTTGGGGAATGTGATAAAGAGCAAGAAACAGCTGGCTTAAGAAAGCCATAGAAACATCTCTGTAGTTTATAAAGACAGTAATAATATTTTCATATTTGAATGAGTTTAGATACATGTTAAACCACACCAAAGGGAAAAAGCAACTCAATTCAAAATGTTTTCTCAAGTCAATAAGGGAACACTACAAAAAAAGGCCTTGCACCCCTGGGAGATCAAAGCAAACAAGTACGTACTGTTATAAGCTATTAAGGAACACTGTTCCAAATCCACTTCACTTAAAACCACCCCTAATACTCAGTCCTGATGTTTTGTCTTATAATTTTAACAAAATTTCATGTTATGAATTATTATTCACAAGTTTCAGTTTTTCATGTTCTTAACTCAGATTTGTGATATTATTTTCTACCAAATTTTTTCTCAACGTTATCCTGGTTTAACCTTTTTCTACTGTGACAATATTATTTATAACTATTGTTTTGATACAGATGAAGGAACAGTTTAATAAAGGGCAGTTTTAAATGTCAGTGATGTAATACTGTAGATGCCAAAGATGCTGTTTTTTGAGGGCCTTTTTTAATCTCGGGCCATGTTGATTCATTATAAAAGTGATAGTAGACGTTGTGTGATCCCTTTAGACACTGTGGAACAAATTCTGGTTTGATTATGCCCAGGTAGGCTCCACAGACTGTGTGTTAGATTTAGCTAAGGACAGAATTTGATTGTTAAAAGTACAATGGAACTGATTCCGTGACCGCTGAAGTCAATGGAAAAGCTTCATTGATTTTGGTGGGCGTTGCATGCACATGTTTAAAAACAACGTATAATACCATCAAGCCAGGAAAGGACACTTAATGTTCAACATCCTTGTATTATCTGTAGAAGAGGGCTTCTCTCCCCTGCCCCCCCCACCTTTTTTTTTTAAAAGCAGCACATCAGTTAGCATAGTTTTCGGACTGTTAGCTAGTTGCTTACATTCTTTGGATGAACATATGAAGGATGCAGTGGAAGCAGTAACATTCTGGAGACTTTGAAAACTACAAGAACTCCCAGGGGACTTCCTGGTAAAATTAAGAGGAGGCTGGGAAGAAAAAAACTCCAAATATTTACTTTAATAGGAAAGATTCCCCCATAAGAAGGTCTTGATCCTGCTGCCCTTGCTCTGGAAACCCCTGTTGATGCGAGTGGAGATTTCTCACAACTGAGGACTGCAGGATCAGATCAATGGTCTCTTAGGCAACATCAAGCATTTAAATGTAGGCATCTTTTAGTCCAACATTTTGTTATAGGTTTTACCTGGTATGTGACCTCTGCAAGTATAAAAGAATTCTTTACAATAGTCTTTGCACAGGTAGGGAAGAACTAGTTCTCTTTCAGATGTTTCCCCTTTCTCAGGTGAATGGAATAGATTCTGAGCATGTGGTGAGCAGTGTGCACATTTGATTTCCTCCAGTAGCTTCATACATTCTGTGTTGTTGGTAACAGAAAATATCTGCAAGCCACAAACCAGAGACAAATAAACACATTACCTATTTCCCTGTCTTAAACAAAAAGATTCTTTCAAATAATGTAAGTAGATCATGCCAACTTAATCAGCAGTTATTTATCATTACATTTGCATCACATTTTAGGTCACCATGTTAGAAGAATCAAGTGCAGAAAGTATTACTATAAAAGAGAATTAATTACTTGTGCAACATCTCGTAAGATTTTTGTGGACTACACAACTGGTTGCTTCTCTTCCCAAGTGAAAAAAATAATTTACTCAGATTATTTTATGGACTCATCTCTTCAAGCTGTTAGTCATGCCAG